CTAGCAAACACTGACCCAGATCTTCAATCTCGTTACAGCTGGGTGTGTTTAAATGTCATGGTTGCCCACTACTCTCTGTGGTTCTTTCCTATAGCCCCAATTGTCACTAAGACAGTGCTTCACCTTATATGAGACCAATGCCAATGTAAATTATTCTCAAAAGAGGAAATAAAAATAGGGAATTAAAGGGCGCTAGGGGCTGAAAGGCTCTGGATGGGTCTAGGCATCACTGTGAGGGGATGGAGGGTGTTAGGGGGACTTTGTAGCAGACTTGGTGACCCTGTGAGGGATGAGGCTTTCAGGAGGGGGCAACTGTGAGGTAGAGACTTCTCTAGTCTGTCCCATCCTATGGAACTATTTACCCAAACCTGTCTGACTATTTGCCACTCCGACTGCCTTTAGGCGATCCCTAAAGACTCATCTCTTCAGGGAATCCTATCCCACTTCAACCTAACCACTGAACCATCACGCTCTCAAAAAATTCATCCCCACGCAGCTACCTCCTCATTAATCACTGGCCCCTCCCTTTTAGATTGTAAGCCCTCAGGGGCAGGGCCCTCCTTACCATTTTATCTTGAATTGTATTGTGATAGTAATGTCTTCCTTATATCGTAAAGAGCTGCGCAAACAGTTGGTGCTATATAAATCCTGTATAATAATATTAATAAAGGGTCTCGGGGGGGGGGGCTATGTGGGGGCCCTGTGGGACACCGTTTGACACTGGCGCAGTAGGGGGGGCTGGAAGCTCGACAGAATGCCGAGGATCTGCAGCCGGCTGAAGGCTCTCAGGGGGCTAGGCGGGCATGGGGGGGGGCTGAATGCAGTAGATATTCCACCCCCTCCTTTAGAGAAAATCCTCTCTTTCAGGAAAGGGCAAGTACAATGTAAGCAGCAATTTATATTTTAAGTTATACAATGTGAATGACAACATGTAACAAATATAAAATAAAATAGGTGTCATTCCAATCTGGCTGCAAAAACTTTCAAGTGCACCTGTCATGTGCAAATATGAAAACTGCTATCAGCATATCAGTGCAGACACCTCAGGCAAATGTGGTTGTAAATCCTATATTTTCATGCCACTATACATACAGATAGCCTTAGAGGAATCTAATCATATGTGATCGAGTGGCTTTAGTGTACAGTGCAGCGTGTTAGACAGGTCTAATCCCATGCCTATGTTTACTCTGTGTAATCCCTATACAATGACACAGCCTACACACAACACTCTGACTGCTCAGGTGAACCATTTACTTTCACTGCCCCAACTGCCAGAACATCAGTAATATTTCCAATACAAAAGGTGAGTCTAGGTGGGCAGGGCGGCATTAAACATTGACATTGCACTCACTACAAGGATGGTCCTTAACTTGCAAGTCACGGTTACAAAGTCACCAAAATGTTTGTCAGAAATATATTGCAATGTCATATGTACTTTGTGACAGGTTACATACAATGATGAGGATTCTTATACATCACATATCTCTATGTTATCACAGAAAAACGACAGTCATATCCACGTCATGTTTTTCTCAGGAAAGAATTACTTTAACTTATTCTCTTCATAAAGAAGAACTCCGGCCAGAAGAAAACTTGACCCTTGCAGTGGGGGTTACCCAGCACTGCAAGGGTTAGGGGCTTGTTTTGGCCTAAGGTCTAAAATAACAAAGATATACTCAGCAGAACCTCGGTCCCATCTGGTTGCAGAACCGGTCCCTGCAGCCTCTCTACCCCTTCGCTCCAGTGAGTCATCATGTCCAATACTGTGATTTGGATGTAGGGACGCAGAGGGACATTCCATCGTTGGTGCAGAGGAGGGGAGAGGCTCCGGGAACTGGTCTAGCAGCCAGACGGGACCGAGGTTCAGGTCAGTATATTTGTTTTTTTACATCCTAGACTAAAACAAGCCCTTAACCCTCACAGTGGGGCTACCCCTGCGCTGCAAAGGTAAGTTTTCTTCTGCCCGGAGTTCTTCTTTAAAATTCCAAAGCAACTAAGAAACAAAGAGCAGCTTCATAGTACCTAACGCCCTTGCAAACTGTGTACCAGTGTTCATACAATCAACTAAAAAAGTGCTGAGCACACACAGACAGGCAAATGTCTGCTGCATCATAGAAGCTGATTTCACAGGTTCTGACATGCCGAGGAATGGTAGAAGAAAACCTTTCACATCTCTGCTTACGTCATTCTCATCTCTCTGTACCAAGCACAGATGCAGAATAATCCTGGGAAAACTGCCGCCTTAGTTTGCATTAGGCTGTAAATTGTAAATATAATGATCCAATGAAAGGCAGAGGTGAGGCTGGTCTTGTTGCAAACCCAGTTCGTCTGAGTTCACCCAAGCCTGCTCAAAACTATCATCTCCACTGCTCCCTCCCGGCCCAATCAATGGCACCAGAATCGATTCCTGACCCTTTGTGTTGTATAGCTGAGGGGTAGGAATGAGCCTCTCCACAACTGATTGGGTTGGGAGGGTTGGAGCAATCACAGTTTTGAGCTGGTTTGGGCGAAATGGGTTCCCACCAACTCCAGGCTCATCGCTAATGATAAGTCATTGGTTCTGTTCACTCTCCTCCTGTTACCACATGTGAATGCAGCATAATCAGATTGGCTCCTAATGATCCCCTTCCCTATTTCAAATCAGAGTGCTTCTGTGTAGGGGAACAGGAGGCCAATATAAAGACAGAGGCTATGCTTACACATACATAGTGTTTTAGCGTGCGGGCCAGTGTAATGGTGGGAGTCGGTGCCTTGCATTGCAACGCAAGCCACTGTTTACTTGTTTGTTTTTAAACTTTACTGAAATGTCAAAGTGACATTTTATTCAGATCTATCTACAGCAGCAGAGCTGTGACATCAGGTGAGCTATGGTGCCTTGTGGAAAAATCCAGCACGTATGCACCGGAAGGCGGCATTGTAGTGTGAACAAGTGTTTATCATGTGCAGTTGCAGTGACTGGCAGTGATCCAGTGCAGAAGAACACCAGTCACCGCACATAATGTGAACATAGCAAGATTCCGGTACATGTATGAAATGATAACTGCATTCAATTGTGTCTTTTTTTATACCTGCATGGAGCCTTTTTTTTTTTTTTTCAAGTCTACCTTCACCAACAAAGGATATTGCTCACAAGTCTACCTTCACCAACAAAGGGTAAGGCTCACAAGTCTACCTTCACCAACAAAGGATATTGCTCACAAGTCTACCTTCACCAACAAAGGGTAGGGCTCACAAGTCTACCTTCACCAACAAAGGGTAAGGCTCACAAGTCTGCCTTCACCAACAAAGGATATTGCTCACAAGTCTACCTTCACCAACAAAGGGTAGGGCTCACAAGTCTACCTTCACCAACAAAGGGTAAGGCTCACAAGTCTACCTTCACCAACAAAGGGTAAGGCTCACAAGTCTTCCTTCACCAACAAAGGGTAATCAGATTTTGGTCTGTGTGTTTTATATACAAGGCCAGAACAAACCTCAGAAGCATAAAACACCCACATGAGTAAACATCAGCCAAGTGCATGCATGTCATCATTCCCTTTATACCGACTAAAACAGTAATCAGTTAAAAAGTAACTCTGTGCACTTGCTACCAGCAATCACGTCAACCAATAAAAAGGATTGTCTACCGCAGAAAAAAATCTTTCGATAAGAAAACTTAAGAATTGCAATTCTGAGATGAGCATTTAAAAGGACAATTCATATCATTTTATGACTGTAATAAATACTGTACATTAATACTTGTAACAACATTATAATCTTAAAAGAGTTGAGTTATGTAATAAGGTGATTCAATCACTGACTATATTCAAAATGCAGTAAGGCCCCATTCACACCTGACCGTTTTGTAGCGCGTCCTACGCTCGATGAACGCTCTACAAAACGGTCAAAAAAATAAATTGCATTGTAGTCAATGGTATCGTTCCCACCTGTCCGTATTTCCGCCCGTCCCGAACGCACTACAAAACGGCCCACGCATGAAAAGGTCCCGGAGCGTTTTTTGCTGCGTATTGGTCCGTTTTGTAGGGCGTTTTCCATTTGTATACTGCCAAGTAGCCTTTGGAATCGCGCGACGGTCGCGCGACTTTTTTACCGCGAATCGCGGTTAAAAAAACGCGTGGCGGTCGCGCGACAGACGCGCATATTACAATACGCATAGGTGTGAATGGGGCCAAAATCCCAGAAATCAGAGATCCCTTCATACCTGACAAATGGATCCGGCTTTTGACAGGTAGTTAGGTTACACAGCAGCGGGCTTCCCTACTGCTTGTGTAATCTAACTTGGTGAGACAAGAGCGGTCAAGGCCTCTACTCTGTGTTAGAGGCGTGCGCTCTGTAGATGGCTTAGACCAATAGAAAAGCACTATTGGTCCAAGCTGGCCAATAAAAAAAAAGAAGAAAAAAAACACTAAGGCCATCAATCTCGATGCCTCAGCAGTGATGAACAAGTGAGGGACAGGAAGGCTCCTCTCTGTCTCCTCCCCACACAGCTTGGTGACTGAGCTAGGGAACGGGGCTTCGGCAGGACAGGGGCGGAGCATTGGCAGGCTGGGGGATGCCTCACCCAGCACAGAAGGCATGGCACGTCACTGGTACATATTCTGGTCAGGACGCTATCTGCAAGTTTGCATGTCCTCCTTGTGCTTACGTGGGTTTCTTCCATGTACTCCGGTTTCTACACACACTCCAAAGACATGCTGGAAGGTTAATTGGCTCCGGTCTAAATCCGCCCTGTATGTGTGCATGCATGTTATATAGAGGTCTTTGCTTGTAAGCTCCTCGAGTGCAGGGACCTGTTGTGAAGGTGCATTATGCACTATATAAATACCAATAATAAATAGAGATAAATCATATTGGTTGCCAATGGTAGTGCACTTTACACAGTTACTGTATGAGATGCTTCGACACTTCCAGAAATAATAAGTATGAATACAATAAGAGAGTGGAAATGGCAGTATAGACAGCATTCAGAATTTTCCCTTCACTTTCCGGGAAGGACTCACATGATCCCTTTTGGATTCTGCAGCATACAGGCTTTTGGTCCAAACGTGGTTACTGGGCATGGTCCATGCATGGATCGCGTTCTCCTGCGGAATATAATGAGCAAATATTAATTACAGTTTTCTACACAGGAAGTATTTTATCAGAAAGAATCTGCATTTTAAACAAAACAGCAACAAATAAAGAAAGATGTACTGTCGTAAAGCTTTGTATCCAGATGGTTGACTTTTCAAATGTAAATGGATTCACATTACAGACGACATAAACAGTTTCATGTATTCTCATTCACAGAAAATTTATTCAATTTATTTTTCAATATTTTTACTGTTTCTTTGAAAAGGTTCACAATAAAGTTTGAACCCAGTAACAGATTTTAGGTCATCCAGGTATTAAGTTTTGTATTATAGTTATCTGCAAAATATTTTCTAGCCCATGAAGAGAAAGCATTGCCCAGATATTACAATAAATGAATAATGTCAGTTTAAAGATGGACAGATACAAATAGAATTTTCTTTTAAGAAAATTGTTTTCGGAACGTACATTTGATTTTCTAATAGTTAAAGATAAACTTTACCCAGATCTTTAAAATAACAACTAACACAACTTTAGAAATGTTTAGTAATGACAATCTACAAACACATACTTCTAGATAATTGCCGGCTTAGTATTCTTTGCATACCTTATTTCTCTTTTCTTACCCTGTCTTCTGACAGTGGCCATTACACTGAGTGGCCAGATTATTATGACCACCTGACGTTTGTAGGCAAATTAGCTATAATTTGGCATTGAAGTTGCTAGAGGGCCAGACCATTATAAATAGGGAAGCAGGTTGTTTACCACGACAGTAGAAGAGGCAGGATACTAGATCTCCTTTTACTTCCTGGAGCTCTGGCACATGTGACTAGAAAATGTGACCATGCACTTCATCTCAGGGGAGGAAAATGCCTTTCCCTGAAATCTCATGAGATTACAGTTGAGATTTCCCAGCAATGCTCTGCTGATGTAACCTTCCCAGGATGCAATGCTTTGGCACATTACATCATTTGTGCCAGAAGAGGACCAGGAAGTAGATTAATTCTATTTGTAAATAAATGAAAAACAAGTTTTTTAAACTAGTAAATGTAAGATGATTTTAAATCAGCATGTAGAGCTGCATGCTGCTGTGATTTTTAGTGAAAGGGGGTAAAGCTCCATTTTAATGGAAGCAAAACTGACAAACATTTTTGACCACGGTGACAAAATAAAAATCAAAAGAGCAGAATGGAAATTTTTTCTCGAATCTTCGAAATTCTAACAGTAAATTAAGTTTTTATTCCATCAACTCCTTTAACCAGTTGACATCCGCGGTGTTAAACCCCCTTCCCATCCAGGCCATTTTTCAGTATTCAGCGCTGCGGTACTTTGACTGACATTTATTCCGTCATGCAGCGCTGTACTGAAATGAATTTTATACCCTTTTTTGGGGACAGATAGAGCTTTCTTTTGGTGGTATTTATTCACCACTGGGGGTTTTATTTTTTTACTATATTAAGGAAAAATTACCAAATTTTAAAAAAAAAAACAGTTTCCCCTATATTAAATGATAAAACATTTATTATTACCCAATTTTTTGGTAAAATATAAAAGATGGGGTCACGTCGGGTAAAAAGACACTAAACATGTCAAGCCTTAAAATTGCGTGCGCGCGCGAAACCTCAAAAAACGATAATACCCAAAATTGGCCCTAGGCGACGCTTTAAAAGCTGTTACCGCTCATCAGTTTAGTGTTATCAGTGATTGATGGCCCTAAAATGATTGCTCTCACTGCGACGTTCGCGGCGATATGTAACATGTGTAGCGCAATTGTAATTTTTGCGCGCTGGGGCACCGGACGCGTATTTACGTTTATAGGCGCGTAAACGTGGGGGTGGGGGAGTTAAACATTTTGGGGGGGTTTTTTCCCCTTTTTTTATATGTGGCTTTTATTTTATTTTATTTTTTTATGTGTTACTTTTCTTTTTTTTTATTTATATTTTTTTTTTTTGCACTTATTGTTATTGCTATTATATAGGGGGATAACAACCCCCTATATAATAGCAAAGGCACACTGACAGGTCCTCTTTATGGAGATATTAGGGGTCTCTAGGACCCCTAATATCACCTATGGACCCCAAAAGAAGCTGATAAAGCAGAGATCTGCTTTATCAGCTTCTTCTCTCTCCAGATGACTGACAGGTGAATGCGGAAGTGATGTAACACACATCACTTCTGCATTCACAGCCCGGACGGGGATCAGCAAGGAGCTGATCTCCCGTCCTCCTCCTCCTGACGCCCTCGGAGCCGGTCCCGGGATCCAAGATGGGGCAGCGGATCCCGGGAATCAAGGTGAGGGGTCAGGGGGAAAAAAAAAACAAAAAAAAAAAACCGGAAGCGGTTTTGGGGGGGGGCTACTTTTGTACCCCATGGTCCGTGTGTGTGTTGTGAAGTAGCCATTACTCCAAGCTCACTCCTGTGATGGCCTACAATCTCAATTTTACTTTACTCATTTGTATTGAGATTGTAGTCCATCACAAGAGTGAGCTTGGAGTGGTGACCACTTTACAACACAAACAGGGACCATGGGAAACAAAAGTAGCCCCCCTCCAGAAGGAAGGACAGTGTCGGCACCAATTCAGAGATGATTGGAGGATCTACAGCCGAGTGATACACAAATAAGATACATTTTTGTTAATAATTAAAGGTACTCAAATGAATTTTTAAGATTTAACTCCTGAGTTTTAAGTCACTTTAGAGAGTTAGTCAAGCCACAGCTGATATTTAAATATGGGACTGATATTGTCAGGCAATATGTGAAATATACCAGAAGAGAGACCCTTCCTGCCGCAGCTGGAGGAAAGATACTCTCAGGAATGGTACAGACCATAGTTCTTGGGGAGAGGACTCAGAACTGAAGTAATTAGGAAATACTGTGATTAAAACCACTTCCTTCCACCTCTTACCTAATGTTTTAGCAGGCTACCCTTTAAGCACCAGATTTGACAAGCTATGACCCTCAGCTGTGGTCAAACTACAAGCCCCAGCATGCCAGCACCAACCCTTTTCTTTCCTTAACCCTATGTATAAAAACAAGTCCAAAAGTGTGAGTGTGTGTAACCATGAAGAGACAGGTCACCAGCACTCAATGATTTGAATAAATATGTCCTTTTTAATGGACAAAGATGTCACAATGATCAACAAAGCCGACGTTTCGGGGCCGCGCAGGGTCCCTTCTTCAAGGCAGAACGATGTGACTGTCACGTCGTTCTGCCTTGAAGAAGGGACCCTGCTCGGCCCCGAAACGTCGGCTTTGTTGATCATTGTGACATCTTTGTCCATTAAAAAGGACATTTATTCAAATCATTGAGCGCTGGTGACCTGTCTCTTCATCTTGCATCTTGCACGGTGCCATCCGTGGTAGTTACTACAAGCACCATCGTTTCTGTTGGCCGGGACTGCTGTAAGGTGTGCGGAGGGCATTTCTATCGACTAAAACCAGTGTGTGTAACCAGACTCCAGCTATTGATACTTTAGGTATGACAAATGGAAGCAAACTTCTTTAATGGCTGCTATGTACAATACATGAACATTGCCTTGCCCTGGTTTTTTGTCAGCCAGCATAGTCATAAAAACTAAACAGCACAAGGGCCACCTCTGAGTGGGTTCACAATACTGTAGGCCAGACAACAAAGAGAGAGAGAGAGAGGGGAGTGACTCGGAATCTTGCAGAGTCATGCTTACTCCAATACAAGAGCCAGCATTGCCGTGAGCTCCTTACAGATGATGCCAGTAATAGAGCATTACTAAGAACACCAACATGCAGAACAGGAGGAACACAAAACCACAGATGTTAAGAAAACACAAATGTGCAATCCTAATAGGCATATGAGAACATTCAAAAAAAAACAACGGGTAACCAATTGTAAAATACAATGAAGATGTTGCATATATGTTGCATATATGAGTATCCAAGCACCCACATAAACCTTTCAGCACAACACCCTCCTACATAACAACCATGCGATTGACACTGCTGAAACTGGTCATACATGGAATATGTGTGCAGTCAGCCGAATATCTATACTTCGTGGGAATGTATGTTTTTCTGTGTTATCAAAAATGCAATGTAATGAGCGATCTGCAGTCTGGTTGGCTACAGTGGCAATTTTTAAAAATGGCACCCCAATGGACCCTGCATACAACCCTTAATACACACGCATGTCAGCACATCACATAGCACACTGCTTTAAACAACAGTTTGTCTGATTTTTCATGCGCTATGGTGCTCATTCAAAATATATGGGCTGCCTTTATGTTAAAGTAATTCATATAATGCACTGGAGCGCTATGAAGAAGGTATTACAGATGCTTGCATGTGTAAGGTTCAGTATTCCTTCTGGTGAAAGGTTGAAGATATATACACACATTATCAGGGTGGAAACTAGTTACAGAATACACTACCTGAAGCATATAGTATGATGATCTTTTTGCTGAGGAAGTACCGTGGGATTTTGGTAGGATGGAAAACATGATTACATGATGACTGCATTTGAACATGTTTCACTATATATATATAGCCATTAAGATTGCATTGTAACACATATCTACAGTGCGCTGCAACACTCCTGCATTGTATGACTGCAATGCAGATTCATGTGTTCTGTGTGTTCTGTGTGCTGTGTTTAGGGCAATGACATGGGGGCACCTGAGCATTCCAGTAACAGCCACTACTCCATTAGGCATCATAAGGAGGCATTGTAGATCAATGCCTCCCAAGGAACCAGCAGACCTGTCATCAATATGGGCACCCACTGGAAAGCAAGGTCCTGTTCCTTTCCCAATGTGGGCTTGTACTAATGGAAGGTCTGAAGCAAATGGGGAAAGGGGGATTGGAATATCTGCTACCTTAAGACCCCCACAGTGCCCCAAACCTCCAACAATGTCCCACAGTGCCCCCGCAAAACACCAAGCCCCAGTTCAATCCAGAGACTCGGTCTCCCCACAGTGCCCCCCTTCTCCCCTGGGCCACCTAGTCTGCTGCATTGCTCATTAACCCCCTCCAGAACCCCCATTCCCCTTCCCCACGCCTATCCAGAGCCCCAGAACACTTAAAGCCCCCTATTTTTTTTTCCCCCACTGACACCAACAGTGTCATCTTCACCGGGTGCACAGAGTGACCTTGTCCTGGCATTGGCTGTCTTACCATGTTCTGAAAAAAATGTGCAGGACCTTTGTTTCATGTGTTGAGGTACACTGAGGACAAACCATTTTGAATGGGCGGCCAAACACAATCCCCCTCAAAGCACAAAAACGTTTGCACACTGCGTTATGGTGTGAATGGGCCCGAAAATGACAATACTCAGTAAATAATACCTCGAAGTTATGCGCTCTTACACCACATACATCATAGCTGCTCTTTAATGGTCCTTATGAGTCTGTAAATGGTATTCAAATAAAACACTCGACATTGTTGTCTCTCTGAACACTCGGCCAGTGTTAGGACAAATGCAGCAGGACTATAGCTGTATGATGAGTAGTCTCTGTGTACAATGTCATTACCTGCTATTAATTATTCATAGCGAGGTTCTGTCATTAATATACTAAGTTACTAGGCCATTCATTATTAGTGAGGGAGATCACAATACAACATCATTGTATGAGAATATAACAGGCTTGTTATAGGAAGTAGAAGGACTTGTTGCCGGACAGAAATCCATTTATGTTTTTGGAGTTTTTGCAAACACTAACCTTTCTCCTCTGGTTTTATGTCTAATTAAAGGCTCTCATTATAATTAGATGAAAAGAATCACTTTCACTGGCCAGTACCTTCCAATGTAACTGAAGGACTGCTCATTCATTTGTTGAGGTCCTCTGACCCTTAATCAAATGGTACCACCGGCCATGCCAGTTCTGCTTGTTATGTAGGTGTACCCGTCATGGCTTATAAACATTTTAATGGAAAAGTACAATTTTCTTCTTAAAGTTTACACTTTATAAATATGAATTAATATTATTTTATTATACATTTGTGCATTATGTACAGCGTGCATTCATGGAATAGTTTCTAGGTGGACATGTAAATTCTGCCTACTTCTTGGCAGACTGTGTATAAGTGATAGGGAGTACGAGTACAGATATTTTGCTGTCGATACTGAGTACCAATACCGGTGCTTCTGCTGGCATGGAGCCGGCTTCCCGGGCAATCAGGAAGACGGGCAGTGGCTATTGACATGCTACCTGGCTTCCTGATTGCCGTAGGGTAACATGGAGCCCGCTTCCCGTGCGATCAGGAAGCTGGGCGGCGAGTAGTGACCCGCCTCCCAGCTTCCTAATTGGCTGGGAAACCGGTTCGATGCCGACTGGCTGGAAAGCTGGCTTCCCGGCCAATCAGGAAGCCGGGAGGCAGGTCATTACTTTCCTCCAGCTTCCTGATCGCACGGGAAGCTGGCTCCATGTTCCCCTACGGCACTGCCGATCAGAGGAAATCTTCCTCTGACCGTAAGTTCCGGTATCGGGGAAGGTATCGGAGCATTTGGGTGAATACGTGTATCGGCACCGATACTAGTATCGGAATCGGTGCATCGCTAATAAGTGACTAAGCAAGACTGTCCTACATCTGCTAGGAAATAGGGAGGGGATGTGTCCCGCCACTAAATCATACATCTGTGTAATCTGATCTCTCCTGCCATTCAGTTCTCCTTCAAAAGAGCAGAGAAAGCTGGTGCTCTAGCTTTGTGTTATCTACTGGCTGCTATTAGTAAAAATACCTACCTTTAACAGGTATTTTCTGAGAGCAAATCTGTCATAAGAAAATAAGAGAGGCCAGCATGTCTTGCCTCTCCTTTAGAGAAAGCTCGTTCCCTAGATGTCATACTTATCTTTTGCTTTAATTTGGTCTTAGTCTGTGACCCAGAGGTCAGGAATTCTGACAATTTTTCCGACTCTTGCTATAGCATGCTTGTGTCAGTTCTGTGATTTAAAAGTACTTAAATCAGAATCTGGCGCTTGGAATTTTCTGAAGAAGGCCACAAATGGCAGTCTCCATACTTCTTTCATAACAGGTTCACTTTCAAGTGAGCATGTTAGGCATCAATGTGTCCATGCTAACAATACTGTTAAAGTGTTTTCATCCTATAATTGATTTCTGAGCAACCCGGGAGCCCCAGATAGTAAGCCCATTATACACAAAATCACCACGCGGGCAGAATACTATCTATGTGTGACCCAACACATAACTGAATCATATATACCTACGCCCCATTCAGTCTTATCTGATCCATTGTGTTATACCAAGCATTATTTTTTTTTTTAAATGTAGGCTGGCTGGTAAGTGTGCTGGGAAATTTTTGCTTTTGCATTGCGTAAAACCCTTCCATGTGCACCTTGCTTTAGAGCTAGTTATGAATTGATAAATGCGTTTGCCTTTTGTTTTACTTGTTGGATTTGGTGTGGGGACACATTGGGGGCTGCAGCTGCTATTGTGGTGTGCCAGGCTTCTAGTGCGTCCCTGTGCCATTGTGGTGTGCCAGGCTTCTAGTGCGTCCCTAAAGCACTAGAAGCGTACTGGACGCTTCTAGTGCGTCTAGCGCGAACAGTGCAGCCTGTTCTTCCATGGGGAAGAACAGGCTTATGCGTACAATCACACGCAGCAGCTGTCCTTCCCGGGAACGGCCCGATATGGCAGTGCACGCTGCACAGATCTGTACGGGCCGCCACTTGGCTGTGTGAATGAGGCCTAAAATCCATACCAGAACCCATCTAGGATAAGTAACTATTTGTGAGCCCCTATGCCTGGCGATGCTCCTGTGACTTTAGGCTATGTATAAACAAGACTGTGTGCGTTTCTTCAGCCTATGAATATCGATATGACAGGAAGGACTCTAACAAGCTGCTTATCAGATAGCAGCAAAATCAAATGTTTTCACTGTCCCGTGATCATGAGCACACGCTACACGTTCTGTTTGTTGGAAAGGGTGTTACGCAGACAAAACAATCTTTTACAGATCTGTCAAAGCCCAACACCACCTTTCAAACAAATATGATCATGGAAGATTGGACAATGATGTAATGAACTCTACTGATAACAATGATCAACTAATGTGCTTCCTAAAATAAAAATCCAGAGTATTTTTAATTAGAAAGTATTTTCATATAGTATTGCAATATGGAGCCTAAATGCTTTTATTTATAGGACATTCATATTTTATAAGCTTGTTTCATATTTTTGTTATCGTATTGTCAGTGGGAGATAAAACAAAGGAACATTTCTCTAACAGGACACAATACTATCCGTCTGGTGCAGTCCTGCGCTCTGGAATTTGAATTTTGCTGACAAATGGCAAGCAATCATTGGTCAGCGCGGTCACCTGACCAATGAGAAGTACTTCTTGCTAAGAAGCGCTTCTCATTGGTCAGTGCAGTCAGGTGACCACTTAGCAATGAGTGGTTGCCATTTTCCAGCGAAATTCAAAATCCAGAGTGCAGGGCTGCTCTAGACGGAAGTACGGGGTATGAATACCGGATATACCTACACAGCGGAGCTGAAGCAGTGTTCGTCCAAAGATAAGTATAGTGGGGGGGAGGGCCAGATTGGAGGGTGTAATTACATTTTCCCAAATTCACCTGGGAAAGCGGAATTACCCTTTAATGAATACAGAGCTGGATTCATCGCTTTCTTTTACATCTTCCTAAAGATTAACTTTAACAAAAATCTACAAGTGTCATATAATGCTATTGTGCACTGTACTACGAAGTGGCCTCACTGCGGGTGATCTATTTCCAACTTGCGCATCGAATCTTGCGCATCCAACTCCACTCCTAAAGATATCATTGGGAATCTTACAAAATGTGAGACATTACCTACAGCATTTCTAACAAAGAGCAGAGAAGTGAGCAAAGCCTGCAAGAGATGCAATGACCCAGTCCACTAGTCTTCCTGTAACCAAGTTGTGAATTATGGTGGACTGATTCAGCAAACAATGCACAGTAAATGCACCCACCTGAACTCCTTACTACTTCCAGGTCCCGGTGAAGCAGACAAGCTGCGGGACTTTGTCCTCCCTCGGATGGGTTTCCCGCGACTTACGTCCTCTTCGCAGTCACAGGGTGCGAATATAAATCCCTCTTCTGAGCTCACGCTCTGGTCTTTGCCACAAACCTTGCTCTGGGATCTCTCCATTGTACAATTGGGAATGCCTCACTCAAGGAGAATGACTGTGAAAATAAAATAAAAAAGTCGACATATAATACCAAATGACACATTGGCATTGCATAACAGATGTTTTATTTTTAGCAATATGCAGATTCTTGCATGCACATCATAGGTAAGACTGACACTAGTTCGCACTGTGCTTCCTCCACCCAAACAATCACACGGCAATAGACACCCCATGCCTGAAGGGGAAGTGAGAGCCATACAAATACCTGTCTCTCCTTCCCTGTGCAGTCGGAGAATGAAGGAAACCCCACCCGGCTTCCTCTCCCTACTATAGGCTAGCACTCCAGGACAGCACTGGCTGGGAACGAGAAGTCTGCTCAGTACACACACAGGATACCGTGTTGCCAAAGGAGGAAGAAAACCAACTCACCTCAGGTTGTCACGTAGCAGGATTGCAATAAAAGTTGCAGAAATGACATATTGCCGATGACAACAGCTGAACTTCTCCCATGTGGGTAGGTTACAAAACACCTCCTGATGATTAAAGTCTACCCACAGACACAAGATAAGGGTGTTCAAAAGTGTACTTCTAGACAAAACTTTTCTAAAGTTTTGGCTAGAACGTTGAAGTATTTCCCTTGTTTTTCTGCCACCGGACATGTTTCACCACACAGGACGTCAGGGAAATGTCTGCAACAGGTACATAGACAGCAAGAAAAGGCTAAATTAAAGAAATAGCCCGTACTTCCTAAAAACAAGCAATAAATAGATTAAAGGCAGGTATGCCTGGAGGTAACTAATTGCTTCCTTTGTATGTGAGGGTGCCTGAGCACTCCTGTGCCTTGAGCCTCATAGCGGTTTACATACAGATGTGAAATTACAGCTGGCCATACAGTGGTCGAATTTTGGACGATTCCTGATGACTCAGCGATGCCAAAATGAGACCAGTGTGTGGCCATGCCGGGACCCCCCTGTTTTACAGTCACTGTTTAGGTATTGTGACAGCTAAGGAAAGGGGATCCTCCATCCATGCTGAATTTTCAGCTAGACACAATCAGTCTGCGTTCGGGTGGGGTGTCCGCAGGCAATCGCAAGATGTGCAATTACATACGAACTGTCTGCAAACAGCTGAGGTGGCGTCACCAGTCAATGTATAGCACAGCAGCTCCTGCCCACAGCTGATCGCACGAGTCTTACACAGGAATTCGCAATCTGGCCCCATTCCCAAGTGTGACTGGGGCTTTAAAGGAGAACTATGAGGCGAGTGCTTTTCACTCACCTCATAGTTCTAGCCGACCTGTGACAATTAGACTGTCACAGGTCGGCTCAGTAGATCGGGAGGTGAGCGAGCACATACCGGCGTTCGCTCACCTCTCGATCCTGTCACGGCTCTCTGCCGTGACAGGTGAGGGGCTGGATGCCCCGCTCCGCCAGCGGTGACTGGCAGAATGGAAGTGAGAGGGGGCGGGTACAGCTGGCTCTGCCCCTAGATAGGCAGAGCCAGCCGTCAGTCACGCAGCTGGTCGGATCACGGTACAATTGTCGCGATCCGCTTCAGCTGCGGCGTCAGCTGCTCGCGGTATACTGCGGCGTCTCAGTATACCGCGGGATAGGAGAATTATGAGGCGAGTGATTTTCACTCAGCCTCATAATCTGAGCCGACCTGTGACAATGAAACTGTCACAGGTCGGCTCAGTAGATCAGGAAGTGAGTGAACACATACCGGCGCTCGCTCACTTCTCGATCTATCCGAGCAGAGAGCCGCAACTGTCACTCACGGCGCCCTGCAGGGATCCCCTCCCCTGTCCGATCCTCCAGCACGGACTCTAGATAGGCAGAGCCAGCTGTCACTCATGCAGCTGGGTGGATCCAGACAGAATTGTCAGGATCCGTTCCGGCTGTAGCTCATGGTATACTGAGCCTAGGAGGACGCTAGTTTGTGTCCTCCCGTTACCCTAAGGAGAACTATAGGGAAAAGACTTAACCCCATAGTTCTCCTTTAAGGTAATGCTGTCTCTGGAGATCTGTTGTGAGGTTTGATGATGCCACTGCTGTACTGCTAACTGTTCTCCTCGCTGCGCACTCCGACACATGGAAGCAAAATTCAAGATGGCTGCCTCCATACAGAGACACAGCGCAGGACAAGCGCTGTAAAGTTGCCAATGTAAAGTTGGGTACACACTTTTTTTATTTGACAGATTCCGCCACCCATGCTAACATCACGGATGAAAGAATCTCCTGATGTGTACATTGTATTCTAACGGTGCCGCCGGTCGCTGTCAGTATACTCAGACAGTGCATGCAGCTCATTGGCTGCAAGCACTGTTGTTTGGCCAATGATTTTCAAGCATGTCCCTTTGGGAAAAGTCGATCTAATGATTGACTTCTGCTGAGAAGATAAGGCCACCCACAGATAATCAGCCGATTCAGCAGGATTTGCTCGGTGTGCACCCAGCTTCAGTAATAGGAAAAGATCACAGCTACCGCTGACTAGTTCTTTACCCTCTGCCTGTCCTTTTATGTGATAGAGCCTCCAGAGTTCAGTTCCTCCTTAAAAAATTTCAATACAATTGATGAGTGTAAAGGATGACAGTCCAGCTAGAAATATGTAACTGTTATAACCACAAACAACTGGAAGGAACAATCGCAATAAAATCATACAAAACACATCAACCAATCACAAAATATGTCATTAATGTTCATTCAAATTTCTAAGATGCCAAATCTTCTTAAAGGACAAGTGTACCGTTACTAAAAAAGTGTGCTCATCCACCCTCAATATCCACCGAACCTAAACTAACCCGGAATTCCTCCACCCAGCTCCTTACTTACCCGAGCCCATAACAGCAGCTCTGCGAGTGTCTCATAGTACGGCCTCATTCAAATCTATGAGGCCCCCGGCAGGGCCACCTAGAGGAGGAGGTCACGGCTGTTACACTCAGATAAGTAAGCAGCTGGGTGGGGGATTCTAGTCCAGTTAGGGGGCTAGTGCAATGTTTACTACAAGAGTGCTTGTCCTTTAAAATGAGCCCACATACAGCCAGCAGCCATCCTGCCTAAATACATGAACATTTATT